CAGGACAGGGAGGAACCGCTGGGAGTGCCTTGGGCTGCTGCCTCATGAGCTGGCCTAAGTCGTGCTCCCCTTTGTTTTCTTGTCTCCCCCTGTTATCAATTCACCCTAAGCTCCTTGGAACAGAGATCTTGATGTGAATTCAAATGTTACAGTCCATCTGAAGTGGATCATGGCCAATCAGCTATTATTTTAGTACTCATATGTGTAAGTATTTGAAACTAAGATATAATTTCATCTTTGGCTCAGTGGCTTACAACTCAACTGGATTTCAAAAAAAAGAAAAAAAAAAACAAAAAACAAGAACCCTCCCTCCTCCTTTAAGAAAAAACAAAATGAAAGGGCAAACAGTATTTTTACATACTGAAAAGTGTTTTCATTTTTTGTGTTAAATCAGAAGATACTTTTTCAAATTTTTTTATACTTAGCAGGGAAATTTCCATAACTATATTCCTTAGCTGCCTACTTTGTTTTGAGGGCTGGAGGCAGGAATAAAATACAGATAAAAGACAACATGAGAAACCATACCAGAATGAAATTACTGTCCACATCTTAAAGAATACATTCTAATAATGCCTACTAAAAAAATCTTCTGACAGAAGAGAGCAGAAACTTGTTTTTTCAAGCTTCCAGTACAGGTGATAAATGTTATATTTCACTTCTATGAAACAGAATACTGATATATGCTGTTAACAATTATGAGTAGTTTTTCAGGATGTCAATTTACTTTCCAGTTAACATTCAGGTTTTCAAAATAAATATTCACTACATAACACAGAACTTGCTTTTCTGTGATGTATAAACAATATCTTAACTCATTATTCTCCACTAATATAAGCCAAGAAAGTGAAAGCAAATGAATCAAGTATCACACTGGTATTTCCCAAGATCAATGCAAAAAAATTTTTTTGTCATCAGGCATAGTCAGTAAGCCAGGTAATAAGCTTCCTGACTTATAATATACTGTAGCTTTCCTCAAGGCTACCTGAAATCAAACAAGGAAACACCACATAAAAAGCTGAAAGAAGCTTACTTCTTAATATGTAATTACAAAACCAATAAACTCCACTTGCTCTCTTATGCTTTTTTTTTAAACGTAAAACTGGAATGTGCACAAATTGTGTAGCTCAACTTTTTATCTAGGATGACTATGTGCCATTGCATCCGCACTGTGCTCATACAAAACAGAAAGGTTAAATTCTCACCATTTTACCTGAGTAGATTTGATTCAATTCAAACACCAGTTACTTGAACATTACATTTGTCACGATAGCTAAAAACAAATGCTGCATGATTCATTATGTTTTTATACATAAAATGGACCAATTTTAAAAAACAGCAAGTTTAATTCCATTCTAATAAGCAACTTTCATAGTCCACCACAGAGATGGCTGCATTCAGAAAGCTCACAGCTGCTTGGAAATATGCAAATAGCACTATCTGACATTTTACTAAAGAAATTAAGTAAACAAATTAATTTCTCCCTGCAGTTTCAAGTGTAAAAAAAGGAGAAAACTACTCAGCTAGAATATGGCAAAAACTAACAGCCCTACTCTTGAAATGGAAACAAAAATGTATCATTTTCCAAGATATCGGAGAGGAATACCTACTTCTTCTGCAGCTGCTGGCTTTATATATAGTTCTAAGTCACGACGCTGGAATAAAGTCTCTTTTCCACAAGGCCTCAAATAGCTTAAGGAAATCAGCGTATTAAAGATCAGTGCTAACAATGCGGTTTCATCGTTCAGAACGAAAAGTGAGGGAGTTCTTTACGTGACCCACCCATATTCACACACTCTTCGCCAAAACCCAGTCTGTAATAAAGCTAAGTTTTCATGCATGAAAGCTATCCCCTTATGTGGCATTAAGACTGTTCCTGCAGAGCTGTGCCAGTGAATATGAAGGAGGGTCATAGCTGTCTTACCATTGCTTTTTGGTTTTATCATGCATGAATTTTGGCATGTGTGTTTGGTGGATAAGGAATCGGCTGGATGGTCGCACCCAGAGAGAAGTGGTCAATGGCTAAATGTCTGGATGGAGATTAGTGACAAGTGGTGTCCCTCAGGGGTCCATACAGGGACTAATACTGCTTAGTATCTCCCTCAACAACATAGAGAGTGGGATCAAATGCAGCCTCAGCAAGTTTGCAAACAACACCAAGCTGAGTGGTACAGCTGACACGCCTGAGGGACAGGATGACATCCAGAGGGACCTGAACAAGCTCAAGAAGCGGGCCCATGTGAACCTCATGAGGCTTAACAAGGCAAAGTGCAGGGCCGTGCCCCGGGGTCAGGGCAACCCCTGCTATCAATACAGGCTGGGGGATGAAGGGATTGAGAGCAGCCCTGCCAAGAGGGACTTGGGGCTACTGTGGGATGAAAAACTGGACATGAGCCAGCAAAGTGCACTTGCAGCCCAGAAGCCACCTGGCTTCCTCAAAAGCAGTGTGGCCAGCAGGTCGAGGGAGGAGATTTTGCCCCTCTACTCTGTTATGTTAAGATCCCACATGGAGTACTGCATCCAGCTCTGGAGCCCTCAGCACAGAAAAGACATGGACCCGTTGGGAGCAGGTCCAGAGGAGGGCCACAAAAATGGTCAGAGGGCTGGAACACCTCTCCGATGAAGAAAGGCTGGGAGAGCTGGGGTTGTTCAGCCTGGAGAAGAGAAGGCTCCACAGAGACCTTACTGCAGCCTTCCAATATTTAAAGCGGGCTTATAAGAAAGATGGGGACAGACTTTTTAGTAGGTCCTGTTGCAATAGGACAAGGGGTTTTAAACTAAAAGAGGGTAGATTCAGACTTGCTGTAAGGAAGAATTTTTTTTACAATGAGGGTCGTGAACCACTGGAAGGGGTTGCCCAGAGAGGTGGTGGATGCCCCATCCCTGGAAATATTCAAGGTCAAGCTGGACAGGACTCTGAGCAACTTGATCTACTTGAAGACGTCCCTGCTCACTGCAGCGGGGTTGGACTAGATAACCTTTTAAAGGTCCTTTCCAGCCCAAACCATTCTACAATTCTGTGATTCAAAACATACATGAAGAGCTTTACACTAGGTAAAGCAAGGCATCATTTGTCAGCCACTTATAGGATCTTTCAAGATACATGTACAACATTAAACAAGAGAAGGCCACAAAGCAATCGCATGTGTGGTCTTGGTTTTTTCCTATCCTGCTTATGCTTAGCCACCTGTAGAGCACACTTGTTTCCCTGGGATCACAGCCTTGTGTTTTTTGCCACAAAATGAATGCAGCGAGTTTGCAACTTGACCAAATAAGCTACTGGAGCCAACATACCCACTCTCCAGGCTGGTTTTACACTCACAGAAGACAGACTGGCCTCAGTGACAAAAAGCCAGTTTTACCCTTCAAGTTCAGTAACAGAATGTCCTGATTAGTACAGAAAACATTAATCTATTACACTGCATGGAAGTTTTGCTTACCAAAAATCAAAGTTACATTATTCATTCTTTTACACGTCTGAAAGCAGGAAGTTAACAGGTCATAAGTCTCCTTCATAACAGTGAATCTCTTGATATTCTAAAAATTCAGAACTTGGCTTCACAGGGTTTTTCATTATTGAATTTCCACTAACCTGTTTTCAGTGCGTTTTCTGTTTCTGTAGAAGCCTTAGTGAATATATTAAGCCTCCTTCCTACTTTGAGACTTCTATAAACAGAAAGAAAAATGATATTTAGTATTTCACAACACTTCATAACACTGCCAGATAACAAATTTAAAAGCACAAAATATTCTCGTGAACTAACAGATCTCTGGAGGGAAAAAAAAAAAAGAAAAAAAAAAAGATAGGGACTGTCACTAAATCCTCAGGCTTTTAACCAGAGAAAGTGTTTATGACTTTATTATTCGTCTGTAACAGAGCTTCCCAAAACATTTCCATGTGAAAGAATGAGCATAAATCAAACATTATATTTGTAGTCATTTTTTACTGAAATATTTAGGAATCTGAATGAAGCTAAACAGTATCAAGCCACAGTACTCGGGCAATTTTGCAGCGTTGCAACTAAAAAGTGAATCTGGTGATTTGGGTTTTTTCCCTGTAAAAAATATTGCACAATTCAGGAAGAGAAAAGGCAACAGCTAAATCAAACAATTCCTGCTTTATGACATAAATAGCCTTTTTGGAAGATTACACAGCCACCTTCTTTGCCACATGGCAAACACTCAAAGTGTATCTGTATGATATATTTTGAACAGCATCGCCCTGATGCTCTCTCTTCTCAATACAAAAATATTTCACTCTGACCATCTATTTTTAATCCTATTTACCTTTAGCATAAGCCTATACTAAACATTTTTTTAAAAAAATCCAGGAGTTCAACAAATAATCAAATTAAATTGTCTTATACACGGAAACAAAGAAAACCCAATGCCTTCACTGTAGGACGTACTTAACTTCAGAACAAATGATTCTTTTAACCATAGAAGTTTCCACTGAAATTCTAGTAGTTCCTACTTTATGTTATCACATATTCATTGTTACCCTGGCAATACTTGCCCTTCCTGACCTTAACGTTTCACCTCTCTGGATTTGCTGTAGATTTCCGATGGCCACAACTACTTCTGCAAACCTGCTCTTGTCATATTACATTTTACTGATGTAACCACCCTGGATCTATTTCAGCACAGAGCAATCTAATTACTAAGCCTCAAAAGAATGTTGATTTAGGATTACATTTTCCTATCTGTGTGTAACTCCCAATAACACTGGCCGAAGATACAAGCATGACTTGGAAGAACATTTATTTTAAAATTACTAGTTCAAATTACTATTAAGCAACATCACTCATTTCATTGAAATCTACTAACTCAATTTGAACTTGGATATTCTTTCCCGTTCTAACCCATTCTTTTCATATTATCAATAGATAAGTATACCAATTAGATTTTCAGGGATGCAGGAGGAAACTTAGGACTGAAACTGCAGACAGTTTGCTCATTACAGGGATTTTAAAAACTATTTTAAGATACTGTTCCTGAAGTTATACACCAAGTATAGTTTCATCACACAAAGAGGGCGAGACAGCTTCTCAGGTATCATAAATTTAGTAAGTGTTCTCAAACATAAGGGAAATTCACTTTACAGCATGTTAAAATTTTGGCAAAAATATAAAAAAAATATACACTGTACAAGCACGTAATAGCTTAGGCTTTCAATTTATATTTCTAGATCATATTATTTCTATTCCTTCAAACTTTGAAAAACTTTTAATCCAACAGCTTAAATAAAGTATTTCTCATAGTCAGTCAAGAATCATAGCCTAATAACAGAATTACTTTCACATGACTACCAACTCTGTCTGATAATTATCCCCAGATTAAAAATATCTATAGAGCTATTCAGCAACTGATAAGGAAGTCAGTTCCCTTGCTCCTCAAATGGGCAGTTTATAGCTGAATGAAAATCCCAGGACAGAAATATCCAGGTCAAGAGGGCTTGGTCTAGAACCTTGTTCCACTTCCCTTCAATTTCCATTGCAAGAAGCCCCAATGGCACTTCCTACAAGCTTTGCATCAGAAAAAGAAAACACTGCTCGCTGGCCTTACAACACTGAAGAGGCCCAAGAGATACCTCCCCCGACACACCTTAACAGTTTGGTAGTTCAAGAACAAGGAACTTACTCAGAAGCTTTTCAGCAAGCAGGCTAAGTTCTTCTAATGACTGGCTATAGCTACCTCTTTGAGGTTTTTGCATGATCTACACGACTCAATGTGTATGTTATGATTTGTTCCTTATGGGAAGCCACAACTCTCTGTTTATGACATACTAAAATAGATGTCTCTGCCAAAGAGGGCAGAATATCGTACATCTACTCACCCATAAATTTACGCTTTTTTGTTTCTTAGTTATCCAAATTCTGCCTTCAGCATTGTCTATCTAAACACAAATGACTCCCTCAAATTCCAGCCCGTAACCCCAAGAAAAGGGGATTAATTTGCAAATTAAATTAATTATTAGAGAAGTTAATCGTACTAAAAACTGAACTGCTAGAGGAGGAATATACTGAGAAGGAATGCAATGATGAGCTGCCATGGGAAAATGTCAGGCAAGAAAGCATAACTTACAGGAGTAAAAAAAGAAACTTTAAGAGCACGCCGTAGCTCATTAAGAAATAGACTGGCCACATAACCAGCAGCAAGATAAATGTAAGGAGTACCCTGAAATCATCATGTAAATTATAAAGCTCATTTCATAGACAATTATAATGTCACAGACAACAGAGAGATCAATTACCGAATGACTTCTCAGCTGCAAAGTGGCAAAAACCCCCGAACTTTAAAATCTCTTTAAAACCCCAACAGAATGACTGAAACTTTTCTAAACATAGAATGTTTATCGAAGTTTTCCATTGGATGAAAGTAAGCCTTCAAAGCCTCCATTTCCCAAAAAGTTAAGAAAGTGATATAAAATTGTATCATGCATAGGTGAGAATTTAAACCAGTTAAAACAAACACAATTACATTTCAGCACCAAGTATTTTCAGTTATCTAAAATTTAATACTAAAAGGACACATTATTCGATAGCTGGCTAACATTAACTGATGTTTTCTCACAGAAGTTTATTTCAACACTAACAGCACTGTTTTGGAAAAATACTTCAGTACTTTCTTTAAGCTCTGAAGTATCATGGTAACATGGATATTTACAACTAAATCTAAAATATAATACATTAGTAATTTTTTGCATGCTCCTTCTATTGGAAGGGAACACAACAAAAATACCTTCTGGAGTCAAAAGACAATCTTTCAGGATTGATTGTTTGACCATCCTCATCCAAGTCCAAGGAAATGCGATTGGATCTCCTCGCACCTCTCTGAGCTGGGGACTGCCTTTTAACTGCCATTTCTGAAATAACGTTGCTGAAATTAAAAACATGAATGTAAAAACTCAACAAATCAACAAAGCAAGGAAGTTTATCATATGTATTAACCAGAAACTCGACTCTCAATTGTTTTTATAAGCCCCTATAAGACAGAATTGTATATTCCTCACAAAATACACCCATTTTTAGTCATCATTCAAGTCTTACTTTTTAAACTGCCTTAGTTGTTACATTCTATGTAGATTAAATGAAAAGTGCTATTTTAGCCCACTAAATCTACAGCAAATGCTTTCTTTGAAATTATTTAGTTTCCAACTTAAATAAAAATTTCACGTATCTGCATACCAGTATTCACAGAATGCGCTAGGTGTGTTTTGCTTAAGTAAATGAGGAATTTCTCTGGATACAAGGAATATGCTGAAATAGGGAGGTAAAAATCACCAGTTTTTTGGACAGGAACCAACACTGCCCACAGGGACAGAGCTGTGCTGCTGCAAATCAAAAGGAAGCTTGCATTCACACATCAGCTGACATGGGTCAATCATGCCAACCTTAATAAGTAGGTCACCCTTCCTGATCCACTGCAATCTGTTGCATTGCATAATCATATTAGGGCATTAACAGACCACATCTTCCTTCATAATTCTGTAGTCAAAATCATACGTGAAGAACAAACGCTCTGATCTCTTCCAGCACTGTTTGCAGTTCATTCTGAACACAACAGGCAAAACACATCACCTTTCTGCCTTTGCCAATTAGTCCCCTTAACTGGTAAGTCTGTTGGTTGATAAAGACCAAGCTGATAATTCTTCCTCACAGCTATCCTCTCCTTCCAACTGCTTCCAGTAACACAGAGCCATCCAAAATTACAGCACTCAAGTTTTAAGAGAAAAAGATGGTCTCAAAAAACAAAAATAGGCCAAGTCAAAAATACTGCATATTTTTTTATAAAAATCTGAATGAAGTTCAAACTATGGTTCTGGTAGGTTAAGTCAAATGAGGTTTTATTAAAAAGAAATGAATACTTGTGGAAAATTGTAAAAGCTAATTGCCACAGCAACACAGTAGGATTTTCTCTTCGGTCTTAGATGTGGTTTTGAATGGCAGAAGCATAGCATAGCACTTCAAGTACCTACTCTGAAATAAAGGCGCCTGAAAACGAGTTTTATATAATTCAATTTTAAGCTTAAAAAAAAAAAAACAACAATCTCAGATTAGTTGCGTATCTCACACTAGAAATTATGCTATGAAGTGCCTACTAACATTAGTGAGCTGGTGCTGGGCCAGAGGCTTGACACACTTCTGAGGGTCACGGGGACATAATTCCTAAGGTCAAGTCACACACAGCCCAGCCCAACTGCTTGGCTTGGCTGCAACCTACAAGGCTGGAGTGCTCCTGTGCTACATGGGATCAGGCTTCCTTGGAGAAGCTCTTCTCACAGCCAATCTTGAGTTATTTGTGGTTTTGCACAGTAGGTCTGGACCAACTATGCTACCAAGCTATCAGAACGTGCAATTCAATGGTATCATACTCTCACTGGAAAGTCCTAATGTCACCCCATCATTGGTATATGAACATTTCTGGCAGCAACATTCATCACTCCATCATTAAAAGTGCCCCTGTATTAACAAAAACTACAACCACAAAGATGTTTTTAATGTATTTTGTAATGAAAAACATCAGATTGCAAATTCATACTTCCAACCCCACTGTACCTACAGTTGTTTGATATTACACGATATTACCTCATGTCACAACATGAGGTTAAAAAAATAAGCTCCTACATACTTCTGCCTTCCAGAGATGGGAAGAGGTAGAGCTTCTGTAAGAAGCACAGATTCTCTCTCCTCCCTGACCACCAATCAATAGTTATAACACTAAAAACAGAGACCCAAGGAGCTTTGGATACACTTTAGCCTAAACTCTGAATTATTTTACTTCTTCACCCCAAACAGAAGCTGAAATTTCAACTTGTAGTGCTGCTGATTCTATTTTGGTATAGTGCTGTTGCAATTTCCATTGAGTGAAACTTCATCCCACACTGAGAAAAATAAATTCCTGTATCCTTAATATTTTCCCTTCCTAGTGAACACGCTGTATTCATACTGTCTACAAAACAATACTATGAGAAAACTGTATACAACAGTGACCTCTGGAGGCCATGCTACAATCCTGAAAAAAAAATTAGTACGAGCCAAAAGATCCGGACAACGTACAATTTATTTTGTACCCTCACAAATCTCAATACCAGTATCCCAATTTTATGCAGTTGAGTATTATGTGACTCTACAACTTCTGAAATAGTTCTTTTTAAATAGTTTTAAATAATGGAGGAATGTATATTGGCTTTTAAAATGTGTCGGGATATTGAACACAAAACCTTTACAGAAAAAAAAAAGGTTAAACTGCCCATATTCTCTTGTCAAATAAAAATCAACACAAAATAATCATGTATCAATAAAAGCAATTGTTTTCTAGTATATTAAAAGCTTTTTAGTGCCTTCTGCTGGACTTCTAAAAACCAACAGTTTTAACACTGCTCAGAAAGCCAAAAGTACCAAACTCATCTCAGAGTCTAACTGTGAACCATTACTATTAAACAAATTTTTAGTTATGAAAACCAGCAGGAGTTGCTGGTCTTCCTAGAAAATTCATCCATTGACAGAGTTTCAAACTGTTACCTGAGTATTAAGGAAGAAACTGGAACTATTACTGTTTAATATCTTCATCAATGACAGAGTGGGATCAAGTGCAGCCCCAGCAAGTTTGCAAACAACACCAAGCTGAGTGGTACAGCTGACACGCCTGAGGGACAGGATGACATCCAGAGGGACCTGAACAAGCTCAAGAAGCGGGCCCATGTGAACCTCATGAGGCTTAACAAGGCCAAGTGCAGGGTCCTGCACCTGGGTCAGGGCAACCCCTGCTATCAATACAGGCTGGGGGATGAAGGGATTGAGAGCAGCCCTGCCAAGAGGGACTTGGGGCTACTGTGGGATGAAAAACTGGACATGAGCCAGCAAAGTGCACTTGCAGCCCAGAAGCCACCTGGCTTCCTCAAAAGCAGTGTGGCCAGCAGGTCGAGGGAGGAGATTTTGCCCCTCTACTCCGTTATGTTAAGATCCCACATGGAGTACTGCATCCAGCTCTGGAGCCCTCAGCACAGAAAAGACATGGACCCGTTGGAGCAGGTCCAGAGGAGGGCCACAAAAACGGTCAGAGGTCTGGAACATCTCTCCGATGAAGAAAGGCTGGGAGAGCTGGGGTTGTTCAGCCTGGAGAAGGCTCCACAGAGACCTTATTGTGGCCTTTCAATATTTAAAGCGGGCTTATAAGAAAGATGGGGACAGACTTTTTAGTAGGTCCTGTTGCAATAGGACAAGGGGTAATGGTTTTAAACTAAAAGAGGGTAGAGTCAGACTTGATATAAGGAAGAATTTTTTTTACAATGAGGGTCGTGAACCACTGGAAGGGGTTGCTCAGAGAGGTGGTGGATGCCCCATCCCTAGAAACATTCAAGGTCAGGTTGGACAGGGCTCTGAACAACCTAATCCAGCTGAATACGTCTCTGCTCACTGCAGGGGAGCTGGACTAGGTGACCTCTAAATGTCCCTTCCAACCCAAACTATTCTATGACTCTTTTCAGCACTTAAAAAAAAAAAAAAACATTAACATATGTTAGGTACAAGCAAGCTAGTTCTCATAGCTGCCTCAAGGATTAGAACTTGCCAATCCAAATCAGAGCAAGCCAGGTATGACATTCCTAGCCAACCAAAAAGGCTAGTTTTGGTTGAGAAAAATGCATTTTTCTAACCATAGCAATTCATCCACAAGCATGTTATAAAATATTGTAATAGCACATCCTAACCCATCGACCAACCATATAGAGGCACTACATAGTTTCCAGGACTTCAGCTGTTAAATTTCTGAAGATTTTAAACTCTCAATAGAAAAAAAGCCTTTCTGCTTAGACTGCAACTTCCTTAGATGCCTTCCTTCTTCCACGGCAGCCACAGCTGGGTAAGTGCTCCAGGGAAAGTCCAATGGGTGGTGAGGAGAGCAAGCCCTTGTTGCCAGTAGGCAGACCAACCACACTTAGAGAAGACTCTGTATACCTTAAGGAATACATGCAGGCCCATGTGAGGTTAGACACTGCCTGTATTAGCTCAGTCAGTATCAGTATGGTCCTCTAACATCTCACCAGGAACTGGAGTAGGCTCCAATTACAATTAAGTTGGCTACCCACAGCTTATGCCATTATTAAGACATCTGTGTGCTCTGCTCTTCTAAAAACACCGGTGAACAGAGATGGAACAACCTCACTGGTAATTAACAGTTTAATTAAAGTATTATTTATATAAAATATTCCTTATTTATCCTCCTTACATTGGTAATACTGCACACAAAACCAAAAAAATTGCAGAAACACATCAATTTTACGTAGAACAGCCAGACGGCTAATCTTTAAAGCAACTCATTTTGGCTTTAAAAGCCTATGGAGACATAAGCTTCTGTCAAGTTCTCAAGATCTCTTATATTCTGGATGAGAGGACATTGTGAAAACAGCACTCACACACAGCCTTTGGAGATGCTTGCATGTACTACCTAAAACCATACTTCCTCCTCAAATAGCACAGACTTCACACATTTGGAGAGAATTTCATTCTGCTCTCCACAACCACCATTAGCACTCTTGGTAGAGAGAATCATGAACACAGGTTAAAAGGGAAACTTGCACAGTTTCTCCCTTTTCCCTTCACAACCTCTGAAGAACATGCACTTTGTTTAACAAAGTTATTCACTGAGCACTGTGCTTCCTAATCTATTTGCAGCCATCTAACTCAATCTATTTGCAAGCATTTGTCATGTTCCTCCTTAGTTTTCACTCACATGAAGGACAGACATCAGCCGAAAACATCACTAGTTTGTTGGGCTGCTCTGCAGTTCATCGATTAACGTACAAAGCAGATCCTTTACTAGATCCTAGAGCAACCTACAAATAATAATTTATGGGTCAAACTTAAATCCTGGTTTGGGACATACTCATTTTCACAGAATAAGTTAAAACTAAGATGATAAGCAGCTTGCAGTTCACACCACAAACAGCCATAAACAAAGGTTTCACATTCTTGTTTTGCTGACGATCCAATTTTCTGTTTAGTTCAGCATTTCACCTGGACTTAATGCCTTATTTTTGGAGTAGTTATCAGAATACTAGCTGAAAAAAAAAACAAAAAAAGAGAACGCAAAATCTGTCTTCAGCCATCATCCAAAAGAGCAGTACGCGCAACTGTTTCTGTTTCCAAACAAATGTTTCTCATCTGCTTGAAAGCCACACTGGAAACGGAGTTAAGCCAAGAGATGAGTTTCTTGGGTTGACTGGAAAGTTTTGAAAGGAAGGGTGGGGCTATAAATAGAGCTGCTCTAGTTCAGTTCTGCAGAGCTGTCACGAAAATTCACCAGTCCAGACAGAACGTCTGAAACATTTACAAATCCATCCATTGTGTGAGAATTTCAGAAGCTTGGAAAAAAAAAAAAAAACAAACCCAAACCTGTTATTTTGCTAGCCTGTCCAAGAAAGTAATGATCCTGGGCAGGAAAACAATTCCATTTCTGCAAAACCATTTTAGAATGAGGATGACAAAATTTAGGGAGCTTGGTATAACCAGACCAATGATGTTCCCATTATTAATTCCAAGTATAACCTGTCCAAATATATCTTTTAGGGCCATTTTTCCAACACAGAACCCAGTCACCTTCAAGATGACATTGCAAAATCAGAATTTCAAACATTACAGAAAATAACATTCAATATACAGACCGTATGTTAATAGTTCCTCCCCTTTTCTGTTTATCTGTGGTTTCTTCATGTCGTCTTAGTTGTGCGAGTAGTTCTGATTCTGTCTGTTTCTTGTTAACTGGTAGGGAAGATGCGACTGCAGAAACAGCCTCCACCAATTCTGGATTTAAAGGCTTGCCTCTGTAAGAGAAACAACAGATATGGAAATATGAAAAAATAAAAGCCTTCACATATTTAAATTGTCATTTCCATACTGTCATTTTATGCCTTAATAACTCAGAAGTTACAGTTACACATTATCCCAAATGGGGGTGCAGGTGGCCAGAGGGAAGGCTACGTTTACCCTACATCACCCTAATGATCAGCTGCTAAATGACACTGACAAGCTGTTGTACTCAAGTGGCCAAAGACCACAGGCAGCACAGACCTACAAGATTATAAACATGATGGTGGGTAGCTATTGTGAGTCTCAACAATCACGATGCAATTCTTAGTTCTGGGTTTGGCTTTTTTTTTTTTTAATTTTTCCTCAGCTTTATTGTATTTTATCTGAACAATATACTCCCCCTCCCATTAAAATAACTTCCCACAGGCAGCTGCTAGTGCTACCTTTCAAGAGTCTCAATGCAAAAAAGGGTAGATTATAGATTTCTATATTACAGAAAACACAAAACATATTTTACCCAGGTTCTCGCCTGTGACTTCCTCCAATCTACATCTACACTACATTCCCTTGCAAGACACTTTCCACACTTGGAAATGGCATTTGATGCTTTCTTTTGTCCTAGATAATGAAAAAAAACAACTTGGAAAAAAGGAGAAAACAGGCTAAGAAAACTTTGTTATACTTTACCGCTGGGTGTCTTCTGTAGCCTTCTGAAGCATGCTACCTTCACTGTCCGGGCCTTCCAGCTTGTTTGTAGCTTGCTTTTTGATCTCACGTGTTTTTAACTGTTGAAGTTTCTTCCTGTAGCTCACTTCTACTTTCATATTACCAATAAGGTCTAACAACTTCTGCTTCGGTGTTTCTGGCATACCCTCCTGACTCTTTGATGCCACTTCAGCAGTGCTGTCTTTGGAAGCAGTAGATCCATCTTTCTCAGCAGAAAGCACGCTGCTTGTGCTGAAGAGTTTCTGTATTTTACTAGTCGAAATACAAAGTTCAAAAAACCCAAATAAATACATGGAACTTCAGAACTTACAAAGAGTGTCCAAGGCTGAATTTTGTAAGCCTACAAAAAAGAAAAACCCCTCAGTTATAACTGTCTAGGCCTAACTGAGTACAAACTAAGTATGTTAAGTACATGCCAAACGTGTACCTTTTCACTTTTGAGAAGGGCTAAGGTACTGTTTAAAACTCTTGATTATTTATGGTTTCTTCATCGCAAAAAAATCATGTAAACAACTTTATGTCCTCCACAAATAAACTGTGTTTAAATCTAGGAACTTAGAACTTTTAAAGTATCCCCGCACTGGGTTACTACCTAGACTAAGAGAGTTTGAATCTACTGGTACCCGATACTTAAATTTATTAACACATTTAGCTTCACATCGTTTTACACTTGTGGCACCACTATGGATCACATTCCCCTACCCTATGTCCAGCAACATAGCAGCCAAGCATTTGTGCAGCCTCATGAGGAAATGGATCCTGCTGCAAGATAACCCAGTAACAGACAAAACAGTTATTCTGGTTATTTTTCCATCTGGAACAGCTCCTCTGCCTAGTTTACCACATCACTTCAAGAAGCTAAAACTGCCACGGTGCAGACGAGGATGTGAAGCCAGGGACAGCAGGCAGCTGCTTAGGATATTGCTGCAACACAGACAAAACTGCATTCTCTGGAAAAACTATCATAAAATTCAAAGAACCGTTCTCTTTAACATTCTAAAATGAAATATGTAAATCTTTCAATTCACAACTACTTTTTTGTTTAAAAACCACCTTCAAGTTACTAAAAGACAGGAAAAAAAACCTTACACTTAAATATTTTATTTTGGTTCAAAATAAGACACTTCAACAGATCTAAAAGAATTTTTAAATACTTTCTCCCTTCACACCCCTCTCTCTTTGGCTAAAAAAGAAAATTCTGCTAGTATCAGCAGGCACCATGTTATTACTTCAGTCACTCTGCACTTAATAAATTGCCAGCATTAAATTGTCGGCATTAAACTGTAAATGTTGATGTTGAGAAGCAACAGAAGACTTAAGGAAAGCCTCGGAACTGCATTACTGAGAAGACAGTAGGAGTCCTCCTGTTTTACGCAGAGCTATTTCTCCACAGATCTTTTTCAAACACGTTTTTCATTAATTCAGTCTGCACGCTCCTTAAAACTATTTGCCCATTTGCAGAACCGTGCTCACAGCATCAAAAAAACCACAGCAAGACTGCAGGCCTTAAACGTTTAAAGCCGGTAGCACACTGCAGTTTGCATTACTGTACCTCACCTACCATCAGGTTTGCCTTCTGCTCGGAAGCCTAGCCTTAGGAAGGCAAACACAGCTACAGAAGAAACCAAGCTGCTTTAGACATGAGACTACCACGGTGTCGAAGCTTGTTCAGAAACGTTGAGGAGCTTTGAAATTATATATATATATATATATATAAAGGCACAACTGACTTTTCATTAAAAGCAGTTAAAATCTTTTAATAAAAATAAAACCCAACTTCTGGATAGTGTCAGCCAGTGCCTTGGGCACGTCCCTCTGCCAACAGGCAGCA